TAGACCTATAGAGGGCTGTGGCTTAAAGTTTGTAACTGCTTAACCAAAGCTGATGTTAAGCAGAGACAAAATAGGACCCAATCTCTCTTACTCAGGCTCCAGGTTGCCAGTGGTAAATTACTGCAGTTTACACGTCTGATAAACTAGGCAAAAACTTGGGTTTCACCTGGCAATACAGGGTTCATCTTGTAGCAGTAGGAAATAGCCTTAAGGGCCAGGCCTAGTAACATCATTTAATACACATAAGGAGAGTGCAAAGGACATTCACTGTGAAGATGCCATTCCTCATCAGAGGTGTGGAGCTATGCAGCCCAACCACTACATGGACCGTGCAAAAGGGCACAACAGGAGCAGCCCAAAGTACACCCCGAAAATCAGCGAAGGGAAGTAATCACTACTTGGTGCAGGTAACGGACGTATGTAGGTTTTGATCATTGAAACACGTGGGTTTATAAACTTCGAAGCTTGCTAGAATGCTTCACATCCCCACCTGCAATAACCAGGTATCAGTATTAATGTAATAGACACCAAAAAACCCCACTGATTTGAGGTTTTGTATTGCCAGAAGCAATAAATTCTCAACCTAAGTCCTCCCTGTCCGATCTCAAACCTGCTGGAGGGATTAGATGCACACACAAAGGCAGTGTTCAGAGCTTGGATTTTGCTGTTCACCTCGAAGAAGGGACACGTGGCCACCTCACACACCTGCATTTATTGCATATTGAATTTACACAAGCATAACCACAGCACAGTTCTGCTCATTTGCCAGAGGAAACCTGTGCAAACACTGCCAGGACGATGGCAACTCTTCTCTAAACCAGCAATGAGCATTAGGTTTGGAACAGAAGGTGCTTCCCACAGCTCCAGCTACTCTAGCAAAAACCCCACTGGAATGTTTATTCCTTGCTCTATGTGACATGCTCTGACAGACGTCAACTTCCTGACCTGACTGCAGGGGCCTGGATGACATAAGAAAAGCTACAAAGCCAAATCTAATCTGCTTTTGAACAAGTTATTATTTGAATGGTTACAAATACAGGGATTTTAGACATGTAATACTCAAATACTCATTTCTGAGCTTGTCAGCGATGCTGAGGACTTGTAAAACCACACAAGTGTGTCTGCTGCTTCAGTCCAAGGAGGGGGGGGAATTCCTGACGTATTTCCCAAGGTTTCTGTCCCATGCAAAATATTATTGGATACAAGGCACCAAATCTAAGGAATCACACAAAATTAGTTCACCAATTTGCACTGGCAGGTAAAACTCATCTCCCTGTCTCTCATTTATATAGTTCTCCATTTGCTGCCTTGCATTAACACTGTCAAAGCCAGACCACAGGATTGTTCTGGTCAGAACTAACGGGGTGGGAGGGAGGGAAATGAGGGTATTTTCAGTGCTTTGCAGAGAAACTGTTTTTGCAGTGTGCATAGTTTAATGTGGGCATGCAGGCAATAAAGGGTAACAGAAAGGCAAATCTATGTGACTAACTTGCTAGTGGAATAAAGTTAGTTAAAATAAAGTGGTTTCCAACGATGACAGCAGATGCTGTATCACGCCTGGCCATGGGTACATTCAGATTCTTCATTCTCAAAACTATAAAATTAAGGAATGCCAATTTACTCACAAGTTGGATGCAATAAGGATATGCTGGGAACAGTTCTGTCCCAACGGCTGCTCCTCCCGAGCCCATCTGCCAGATTCAATGGCTTCCTGCACCTTCACATGCGCTCTGAGCATCCCTCAAGGCAAATGACTCCTTGCCACCGGACTGGAACCCCAGTACAGGAAATCCCAGTGCACAGAGAAACCAATTCTAACCCCAGTTGTACCAAAAGAATGGTTTTTATGTTGCAGATACTCAACTTGTAACTCACAACTGCAACCACCGAACTCCACACATAAGTCACTCGAAGTTAAGTCACATCACCTGCCTGTGTATTTGCAGAAGCAGAGCCTAAACCTGGAATTATTCTACTACACATCAATCTATTAGGAGGATTTGAAGCCACACCATTACAGGAGGGACAAAGTTTGCTTTACAGGTTATCCTTTGTCAGGCATGCACTTCACTGTAATTGCAAATAGTATCTTCATCTTACTGATGTAGAGAGTCAACTTCCAATCCAAATTCTGGCAAGCAGGACACTATAAAACAGTGTCCACCACGGAGGGAGCACTGGGCTATGCTTATATAAAGAAGCCTGCAGTAGACAAATATAAACCAAACAGCATAAAAAATGCTATACGTTCTCGCTTCCAAATAAAAGCTGAATATTACAGAAACCTCACAGTGTTGGAAAAAGCAAGTTTAGTTCCTTTGAAGTATAAATTCATTCCTTCCCTATCAGGGCAATCGTTCTTCTGACTGCAGTATCCCCGCATCTCAGCACAACTAAGCTAATGTCACATGGAGAGGCCACTCATGTCAAAAGGTGTCACCAGCAAATGCTACCAAATCTGCCACCCCCTCGACTCGTGTGACAACTGAATGCAACTCTTAACGCCAAACACTCAGTCAAAAGATGAGCATCACAGCAGAGAGTCTCGGCTCCCTGCAGGATCAATGGATGCTGCACTAAGATTTGCTTTCCTGATGAGCTCTACACACACAGGGCTGAGGGATTCAGAGGGAACGTGCCATTTGGTAGCCACAATGAACTGTGACTGCCGCTTAGGAGAATATAATCCTCTTATTTAAGAGTGGACAGCCCTGGATGCATGGGAAAAATAGCAGTTTTCCTTTCCACCTCTCAGATTAAAAAGGCAATTTTAAGCACTATTTTTTCCTTTAATTTTCTTTTTGAGACACAGTGTTCACAGAGCTCTAGAAAAGAACCCATCATGTGTCTGATAATCCCAAGATTTTGATTCTTCCAGGAATGTCAACTTTTACCTGTGCTGAAGCCAACTCAGCCTCCCCTGCAGTCAGCAGCCACAATTACTTCTCCTGGATCTCAATTTGGCCTCTTGCATTTTACTCATTTTATTTACTGGTAGTAAATTCCCTACCAAGTAAATACAAAGATACAAAGACATTCACTGAAATCCCTCCGGACCCTGCTACATCTAGAGAACCAGAACTACAACTTTTGACAGAGTCCTGTGGGAACTGGTTTAAAACTGTCTTGTCTCCAATAACATTAGAGCGTATGATCTCAAAATGAGATTTAATTGTCAAAAAGACAGGTTTTGGTGACTCAAAAAGCAGCATGTTGCTCAGACACGCAGGAAATGGGAAACTTCAAGGACAGAGGAGACCTAGCACGACACTGGGCTCCGACACGGTGGAAGCTTCCTGCTTGCTGTGCTCACCCCTCCTGCATGGCTGGAGTGAGGAACAGCAGCCACAGCACCACAGACCAATTTGCCCATAGGACAGAGGATTAAAAGTCACAGTTGTGGCAGTGGGAATGGAGGAACAGCATTTGAGAGACTTGCCTCTTCCCCTCTCCACCACCACCAAAGGGTTGTGAGTGTGTGGCTGGTGGGCAAATGCTGACAAGAACAGAAGAAGACAGAGGAAGAGAAACACTTTCAGAACTTCTCTACCTGAAAATGAAACCGTTTTTTTAAGAACCTCGTATTTTAGATGATTTCACCTTTAAAAAACCCCCAGCCCATGAAAACTGACAGACATTGTGTCTCTTTACAGCTGAGGATTCAGATTTGCTTAGAACATGAAATGTGAACTGCCAAACCCCAAATTATAAAAACTCACCTGAGGCGCAACTGTAGGCTGAGAAGTGACCATAAACAGTCAACTAAGGCCCTGTGTTTCTCACAGAATTCTAAACCCAAGACGAGTACAGATACAGACATTTTGTAGCCTTCCAAACTCAACGTGGAATTTGACATTGAAGTACATTCCTTCCCTTTATGGCCCAGCAGAAACAAAGACGGCACAGGCTGAGTTCTGCACAACCTCCTCATGTGACAACCGCAATTCATGGACATTCCCCTTAGAGGAGCAGTAGCAGAAGCCTCTCACTGTTGTGGGCTCCCCATCACCCTGTTCCCCTGAGGAAAACATGCCAACACGTGTGTAAAAGTGCTACTTTGCCAGTGTAAGATGCCTCCATGCCAGCCCCTTCTGCTGTCACAGCCGGGGCTCGGGCTCCTCTGTCATCCTGATGACCAAGTTATGCCAGCAGAAGCCTGTAGTACAAGCTTTGTTTTTGCTGCCACTGTAAACAGATATGACACACAGGTACATTCCTGGTTTATTACAGGGGGTTGTGTTTTAAACATACTTTCTCCAGAGCAGAACTGTTTTCAAATCACATTCCTAGTGAATTTAGCTGCCGGTTCAGTTCAGCCCAGAGAACAAACCATCGAGTGTGCACACAGCCCCAGAAACGCTGAGGAGAAGAGCTGCCGACAAAGCTTGCCCACCACGGGTTTGCCCTCAACTGATGGCAAAGAACTTGGTATCCCAGAGAACGCTGAGGCCCTGGGGGAGTATCTTCCCTGGTGGAAGGACATTTAACATTCCTCTAGCAAGAACAGCTCTGAGGGCAGTCAACTCCATCTATCCAACAACTGTCCCAACAAATACCTGGGTGATCTGTATTTCAAACCCCGGCAATCTGAACAGCAATCGGAGGGGAGGGTACTGTACCTGTTCCTTCTGCAGTTTTATCAGCATTACCAGGTACTGAAGGTTTTTGAAGCCAGCTGAATGCTTCAATATCCCAGTTGTGCTCATCTGTTACACGCCTTACCCAAATCCTATTTGAGATGAGTGATACACAGCATCAAACCTTCCGATTTCATTTTGTGAGCATACTGAATGACAAGATGCTTTCTAAACAAGATTCTGCCTGCAATCTTATGTGTCAGAATGGCACAGCTCGACAGGCTTTTCCAGACCCTGGGTGGCCAATGTCATGAGCTGATCCCCTTCCTGCAGCGAGCCTTTTTTTCCTACAAAGAGGAAAGATGTGAACGCCAATGGTTGTAAAGAAAACTGAGACTGTTGCTTGAGTCACAGAGCTCCCCATCATGGGAATGTCAGTCTTCTGTCCTTATCACTATGTCTGGACGGCACCTGAGCTTGGAGTTGTTTTTCTGAGATTCTTGCTTTGTCCTGCACTGTTCTTTGAGTGTAAAAAAGAATGTAGGCCTGGGTTTTGCACACCTCCTCCACACTACATACATTCAGTTTGGAGTCATTGCAGTGGACCCAAAAACCTAGGAATCAAAGTGAGAAAGAGGATATTAGTAAGGGAGGCGTAATTCCTTCTGAATGCATTTTGGAACTGTTCATAGGAAACATCCACAGAGAAAAAGGGCAGCGTAGGAGAAAAGGCATCTCTGTCTATTCCTCTATGGATGCTTTGGAAAGGAGCATGCTTTTGGAAAGGATCTGGAAAACATTTTGATTGTTTCTGTGCTGTTAACAGAGTTTAGAAGTACCAAATTCTGTAATTTAACCAACAGTATATTATAGCCTAAAAGCTCCATTAGGAAAAGAAAAATTCCCTGGAGAGAGGCAATTTGTAGCTCTTTCTGCCCAAGTCAGAAGGCAGAATCAACACTGATCCAGCTGCAGAGAGAGACTGCTGGAAATGCACAAAACCCCTGCGGATGTTACTCATGAATAGTTCCTGTCCAGCTTCAAAACACTTTCTGTTTATCTCATCATCCCAAGGATACTGAGAAAAGACACCCAGCTGGAGCAGCTCCACGGAGTTACGCTGCATGAGAAAATGAAGCATTCATGCTGTTAACAGCAAGCAATAAAAGGCATCCCGAAGGGCTGCGAAGCAAAGAACAGCAATCTGTGCCTGTAGGCAAAAAACCAGAGAACATGCTACCAGGAAGACATTCTGGGAAACAAACTACCAAACGCTGGGAAATTGATTCCAAACAACTTTTGATCATAAACTTTTACAACGCACTATGTCTGTGGAATAAAATACGAGGTTCTTGATTCTGTTTCCCCCGTAACAAGGCACACGCACCTCCCTCTGTGTTGTAGCAATATGCTGTGTAGTGTCCTGAGCCAAACCCTTTCCCGTGATGCATCACCACAGCGGAGAGGTCATAGACAAAGGTCTCTTTGTCAAGAGAGGAGAGAGAGTCCCTGCAGCAGTAAGGTTCCATGTTTAATACCTGGTCAAAGAGGACATGGACCCCAATCTTCTCGCGGTGATTACGTTCAGACCACCTGCAAACACAAGGGCACGAATCAAAGACTCGGGATCCCGCTTCTCGCCTGTGGTGCACACAAAAGCAGCTGCTGCTCGACAGCTCTGAAGAGCTTTCTGTGCTCGGGTCAAGTAGGCGTTGTGCAATTTTTTTCCTTCTGTTTCCACTCTAACATCTCCTACAGTCATCTCCTGCACACAGCTCATTCTGTCACTGATCCCCATTTGTTATCGTTAGGGTACTGTTGAGATTTGCAACAGCCAAGCACAAAGAAAGCCAAACTACCGTGACAGCAAGACAGCATTTGAAATGCTCAGTTGTAATATAAGCCCCACATGCCTCAAATGCCTGGCCTGATCGTTTCAGAAACTGCTCATAGTATTTTGAGCTTTGTCTGCTATGCTTTATTCAATGGGTACGTACATAATATTGGCATTTAACTATCACAGGCTTCCGGCTTCAACAAATCTTTCACTCATCAGCTCATCCATCTCACAGCCACTCTTTCAAGCTGTCTCCAAACTCAGACAACTACTGTTGAGTACAACACTAGGAAATCAGCATTAACACTTACAAAACATTACATTGTGTGTAGAGCAGAAAACAAACGATGCAAACAGGTTACTGACTGTAATGTGAGTTGTACTCTGAGAGGGAATCACCTCTCTGGTTTGGGTTAAAGTGCATTTACCAGAAAGGGAGAGGTTATGAGCCCACACTAATCATCTCTCTCCAAAAAGACAGAGGCAAGTCTCCTGCCTGACACCACACAGTGTGCCCCACTCACCTGAATCGTTTAAGGTGCAGCCGGAGGACCTGAGGTAGTCTGTAGATCAGTAACTGCTTTTTAGCTTCACTCAGAACAAGAGGTTTAGGAGAAGACTTTCGCCGTTTACCTACCAAATAGAATTAAAAACATCAAGACAAAGATTGTTGGGGTGTAATTAATTTTCAGGAGGGGAAACAAGCACATTCTGAACTCTTTTCTTCCAGCAGCACTAGTCCAGCTCATGTGCACTCAGGATGGACGCACAAGTCAACATTTCCTATGAACCCCTCCACAGAGCAGGAACCACCTCTGAACCAAAACTGAAGAGGGAAAAAGGTTCCTCCTGCCACGGATTCCTCTTTCCAGGACACTGAGCATATGAGTGTACCAGGAGGAAGACAGGTGGCTTCCAGAGCTTCCAGTAAGAAATATACCTGTTAATTAGATTTCTGCACCTCACCGCACCAGTTCACAACAGATGGGTTGCTCCTCCTCCGTCACGTCTGACAAGTGCCCCCAATAGTTTTTGGCACCTAGGTGCAGGCTGGTTGCCTTCTCCTGGCTTTATTCAGCTGGTTAATATTCCCTTAGTCATTTCACTCTGAAGAAACTGTTACAATTTGGGCTTTCACAAAGAGTCCAAGAAAACAGAGTTGAGATGAAGCTGTGCTCATCCGCATCAATGCTCTGTTAACAGTGTTTGTAAACCAGAATCTACTCAAATCATATTTGGCTTTGTTTCAAGAACATCTCATCAATGGTTATTTCCTAATGCCCTGTGAAGATGTTTGGTAACAGATTTGTGAGTCGACAGAGAACAGATCTCTACAAATATTTGCTGCTTCAGCTGCTTACTTTCAATGTAAGTCAAGTTATTGGCATTTTCCTCCCAAGGGGATGAATATTTGCCATAAATAACTGCATGAAAAAAGAATTTCAAATCCAGCTTATCAGAGTAGCTGAGCTGCACGGTTATAACACAGCTAAAATTATTTTCAGGCATATAATGACCTCACACTCAGACCTGCTACAGGAAGAAAGAAGTCATCTTCTAGCTGAGCACAGCAAAACACGTGCATCCATCTAACAGGTATTACATTAACCTGAGACTGCCCGAATAACATCAGCTCATTGCTTCTTGACAAAATGCCTACAGAGAGATGGAAGCTGGAACCTGGCAGCACACCTTGAGCACTCTGCATTTGTGATTCTGGTTAAAGGATTCAATCAAGAGCAAGCTGCATATAGATGACTTGTTATAAAAGCTTTCCTGCAATGCAGAGATGAGCAAACCAGAGGGGATAATGTTCCTTCTTCTGTCCCTAAATCCAACCCCCTTTCAACCCCAAAAAATTCCTGAGGTTGCCTTCTCCTCTGAGGCAAGTGGGGAGAGCATGAACAGGGTCACAGTAAAACCTTAGCAAACTGTGCTGCTGAATGGTGGAGACAAGAAAAATGACATATCGGACCCAAACCGGTACCCAAAGGAGCAGAAGCTACCAACAAGAGGAAACAAAACAGCACGAGCAGCAAGGAAGAGCAGTTTTCCTATATATGCAGATGACAGTACATGTTTTCAGATAGATCAAACACATCAGAAACCTCTCAAGTGGAAAAAGACATGGCACAGAGACAGCATCAGCAGCTGACTTACTGTTGCACTGGTCGCACGCGTATATCCTCCCTTCCAGCGCCTCGGTCTCAGTGAACTTGGCCAACATTTCTGTCAGCATGCACTCTGCCTGGTGAACAGGGACAATCCCCTTCTCCATGGAGTGATAGCGCTCAGGGAATTCCAGGGAAAGATCCCAAAAGGGCTCCACAGTGTTGGATTTGTAGTTGCATGTTATGCAGGTGACCTGGGGATGACGCAAATGGAGTTATGTACGTGTACACCTGCAGCCTGGCAGTTACAGTCACATCTAAAGAGCAGGTTTATGCCCCAAAGGCGTTGCAGTTTCAGACACAAAGATGATCTGTGAGTCAAGAGAAACATGACTTATTTCCACTCTAATCTTGAGCAAATAATTTAAACTTCTTTCTCAATTCCCCCCCAAAATGGAGCCAATGTTCATGTTTACGGGATTTACCTCCTCAGATGAATGCTGTTACAGGTATAGTAACGGTTTACAGCTGGTAGCAAGCACCTTGGATCCGTTTTCTACTACAAAAAGTGCACGTTAGCATTTAGCATGCCATCATCCTTCCACGGTTTCTCTACCTTCCTTGCCTATCTCAAAGTATGAGATCCCTTTAATGCTTCATCTGCTAACTATATAAAGCTTTTCATGAACAGAGCATGAGAGGACACATTTCGGATGCATTCGTTTTCTTGTGTCATCCCAAGAGTATTATAAGTAAGAACAGCAGAAAAGTTTTCAGTTAAACTCAGAGGCAGAAAGTGAGAACACAAGAAGGCAACAAAACCAGGAAGCAGATCTGGTCAGACTCTGTGGTGCTGTGAGAATCACCCACCAGAAACCAGCTTCCAACCTTGCAACTTCGGGCACTGAAGGCACCAGTAACTTCATGATGGATGTGCAGCTAGCAGATAGGGAAGGAATAATTCTGTGCATGGAGGGGTTTGAAATTAAACCCAGTACACAGACACAAGAGTTAAACAAGTAGAATAAATAGTTTGGTGAGTTATTTATGGTGTATCATAGGTGCAGATCAATCACACTGATTTGTTATCTTCACATTGTTAACAGAGTCTACAACATCAGCCCCAACACCCACCACCCAGAGCCAAGGGACACAACTGAACGAAGAATGTTGAGCTTAGAGGTCCACAAGAAGCTCACACACTGCAGAGATGATTCAGATGAACCAGGACTTCAACAAGCAGCCTTTCCCTGAAAGCCAAAAACTTTGAGTTGAGAAATGCACCTTTTAATCTTTACCGTGGAGGTAAGTTTTATGAGGGGGAAGCTCAGTGGCACTGAGAAGGATGATAAAAATAGCAATGAGAATGTGCACACGTGGTCTGAGCTCCCGAACCCTGGCGTGTCAAGTTATGCATAAGTTTCATTTCTCCTGGAAAGCAAAGGTAGTGGAGAACTTCCAAAAGGCAATGGGCTCTTGTGACAAGGGAAAGGCACAGGAATAAGAGACCAAGCAGCACGACAGGCACTTTCACCTCCTACAGAAACATATGTTAAGCATGCTCAGTGTCTCGAGATGACTTTCATATGCCTGCAAAAAACCCCAAATTGTCAGAGAGAGCTTATTTGTTACAGCACAAGATGACAGCCCTCTCTGTCCTTCATCATGCTCTTTCTAACATGGAAACAAAACAAAGAAGGGAAAATACAAGTTACAAAAAGACACCTGAAAAGCACAGTAAAACCGTTAACAAATAAGGACTTCCATACTTGTGCAGGTTTCACTCTGAAGTGGCAGAAGTCAACTGAATTTACAATACCCATGACAAGCATGGAAAATGCTGACGACCTGCATAGCAACTCCTCTAATGTATCTGAGGGCTCCTCAGGAAACAGAGCCCTTGCTCCTTGGTGTGAATGGCTCTAACTGATGCCTGTGCAAAAGCAGGTTCATACCTGACTAAGCAACTGCCCATGAAAAATGGTGTTCACCACCTTCAGGACCTGCTTGGTGAGCTTCCTCTGTGAGAAAGGGATGAGGATCCTGCGCTTCGTTCCTTCCGACTCCAGCTCCTGCTGTACTTTATCCAACAACTCGCAGAGAAATTCCTGAGCGTCCTGCTGGTCGTACCCTCGGAACGCCGGGATCAGGCTCCACACAGAGTGCAGCATGGCAAAGGGGGACACGAGCGCCCACTTGCCAGACCACATCACTCTGAAGAGGGTGTGCAATTCGTGACAGAGGGAGATGTGCTTTGAACTCGGTTCCTTGGGCTGTATTAGTTCTAAACTCCTGCTTATTGAGGAGCCACCATTTAAGCCAGCTGGCAAGCTCTGCGTGCCATATGATCCCACTTTGTCAGTCTTCCCTGACTCATTAGCAGCAGACCCATTTGCCAACTTGCCAGGCATCCTAGACTTCCCATTCACAGTTTTAGCTAAGAGTTCTTCTGTTTCACAGAGATCAAGTGTCAAAAAACATTCTCTAAACTTCTGGAGGTGACTTAGCACTTGCAGAATAGAATTCATATAACATGTGTTTCCCAGGTTCCTCAGACCCGTCACCCCGGGAGTCATCAGAGGCTTACGCCGGATGGAATAAAACTGTTTGAATCTGCTGCTCTGCATCTGCCTTGAGGTAGGGGAAGTGGTTGCCACCTCCCTGAATTTCCTTGGAATCAAGTTCTCTCTGTGCACGTGAGACAACAGCCTCGCGCTCTTCCTCGGAGGAGTGTTTGCCAGCTCCTCCAGGAGCTGTCTCTTCATCTCCCGCCGCCGCTGCCTCGCTGCCTCCTTCTTTTTCTCCAACTCCTCCATCTGTTTCTTTTCTTTTAGTTTTAGCTGGCCCCTGGAGCTCTTCTCAAACCAGGTCCGCAGCGCCTTCGCAAGCAAGGACTGGCGCCTGTGCCAGAGGGCTGTAAGCATCTGAGACTGTCCCTGAAGGCTCCTCTGATGGCTGCACATGTCCTCTCCCAAAGCCATCGATCGCAATGTCCTGCCACTTCTTGCTGACGGGTCATGCTTTTGGCTTTTAATTGCTGACAGAGAACTTCTCAGCAATTTCAAATCACCCTCCGGGTTATCATTCAAGACATAATCTTCACAAAGGTAACAAAAGACATACAGATCATTAACTTCCATTGCCAATGGGTGCCTGGTTTCCTCAAAGTGTTTAAGTGCATGCTCCTCGATGTACCTCCCGCAGGCCACGTGGGAGCACTTCAGGCAGGCCCAGATGGACTCCGTGGTCTGGCAGTCCACGCAGTGCCACTTCTGGGGGTTCAGGATGGAGTGGTCCTGGGCGAGTCGTAGCCGCCCAACATGTTTGCATCTATCCATGTCTTACAGAAGTCTTCGCTGCTTTGACCTTGGAAGGCAAAAAGACAGAGAAAAGGGACTTAGAGCCACGGCACGTATTTAAAATGATCTCTTTTGTACTGGCCATAAAGACCTTTAAAAATACAGATGATGCGTCTTGTCAATCTCAACCTCAGTTTTCCCTCAAGCAACTCCATTATTTCTGTGGGCAGTTTTTAGCACCAGCCAAAGATACTGGATTGACAAGGTCTACATTATAAAACTGCCTATCTGTCTACTAGGGACAGCCCAGCCAGCTGCCAGCACGCCTTATCCAACCTGAATGGCTCGCTTCCAAGGAGAAAAAGATTAATTCAGTCCACAGACACGTTTGATCTTTAGCTGCCCTCCTGAAATTGATACATACAAAATGAATTTGGAATGGGAATGCGTGTCATCAGGACTAGGCTGAGGTTACTAACTTCTTGCAGAAGCCACAAAAACACCGGATAATTGTCATAACCAGAGCATTTGCAAGCCTGCAGGCTCTCCATTCTACCCTGGAATTCTCTTCGTTTCCCATAGCCTCCCAAATGCCTCAGTGTTTAAAAAAATCAGGAGCGAAATAAAAAAATGAAACGTGTTCTAGTGAACCTAAAGGACCATCTGCAGGTGTACACGTCTGCAGGAGCCCACGGGAAGAGAAAAAGCAACTGATTTACTGCACTGTAACTGAAGAGAAACCAAAGCAGCGCTACTGGAAGGCACAAAAAAGCTTTCGCTCCGTGTCCTGCACCCGTGTGTTTTATAGAGGATGCTCAGATGTACAAAGAGCACAAGTGACACTGGGGCTTCTTTTGTACGGTCCCTCCAATGCTCTGATCCAAGGGGAAGAGCTGAGGGCACAGCAGCGCCCGGACCCGCTCGCTCGCACGCGCTACTCACGGAGTCCTGTTCAAGCATCCTTCCCCCCGCGCCGCCGCAGCCCGGGCGCGGAACATCCCCATCGCAGCCAGAGGAGTCTTGGCGGATCTTCGGGAATTTAATTACTACTTAAGTCTTCATTGTAAGGCAGCGCAGCTCCAAAGCCCTAGAGAGAGGATATTCGTGTGATGCACAGAAACAAACTGAGAGCGCTGGCAGGGCTGCTTTGGAACACGATTAATCCCCTCAGTGCAAGAGCTACTGCGGAGAACACATTTATTACAGAGACTGGAATTCTCTGGAAGTCGAAGCCGGAGCGCACCGAGGAACCCAAATAGTGAGATGTTAAGAAACGTCACGTGGAAGAGGCCCTGTGGAATTTCGTTTTCCTGCTTTCATTTTCTAATAATCTATAAATCTGCGGATCACATGTAGCCTCTTCATCAGCAGCCTTTTGTAGTGGATGACCCAACATATGGCAGAGAAAAAACGTTGAGTTAAAAAGACTGAGCGCAAACGTTGCACCTCCTGCGATCACTTCAGTGCTGACTTGGTGAAAGCAGGGGGGAGGAGATGGGGGAAAAAGGAGGCAAAAAATCTGTCCTGAAATATCCAGTATCAAACAATAAAAATGAAGAAATGAATAGTTGTCAAGTGTGAACTGCAACAAAGAACTACAGAGGAAAGAGAGAGAGGAAAAACCTGCATTTTACCCAAGACCGAAATGATTGGAAACCCGTATCTGTTGTAATAATCCAAGAAAGACTACATTAACTCACTTACACACCTACAGCTTGAATGCAACACACAGCAGCGACAGGAGGGACAGCAAGAACAGGCACAAAGTGGTTACAGATGTCGCAGAGAGCGTTGGAGCCGGCACACGAACTGTGTAGTTAAAAGGAATCACTCTACAAGGAGCAAAGTTTAACGCAACAGAGGCTGTGGCTTCCCCAGACAGCTGTGGAGCAGTTGCCTCTATCTGACCAGGCCAAATGAACATATCTTTACTGGCCCCCAAATTATGCAGATTTACTTTAATTACTATCTTCTTCCAGTGACATTGTTGCTAAAGATGGAATCTGTTAAAGAAAAATCAAAGCTCTTCTGTTCTTTAACTCTTCTCGACTTCAGATTAGAGCACAAGTGGCCACTTCAGAATTCACCTCCACGGAGCGATCTGCAGTGTCTAAATAACCCTTTTAGCTGGTTGTTTTGAACAGGTCAGGAAGCACTACACCTCTCCTTTGGGCTGAGTCCATCCCCTCACAAATCCTCAGACCTGGAAAGGCGCTTTTGGAAATCCCACACTAAACAAAGGACTCATTTGGTCTCCAAGTTGGAAACATCCTTTCCCACCTCCCTCTCACCTTTTTCCCTGAGCCTTTTTTCTCACCTTTCTCCCTGAGCTTTTTTCCCCTCCTCTTTCTCCTTTATTTCTCTGTTCAGGTCTTGACAGAAAATTGTGGAATAATCCCGTCTAGCCTTGGTAAGACCAAGTAGCATAGATTCCAGCTTGAAAGAGTATAGACACTATGGTAACATTGACAGCCTTCATTTACATAAAAGAATACTAATTATGTTGTATCATCAACATCTGTGATTCTGCTCACTGCCATATGCGACAGGGTTGGGAATTTAACCCTTCAGTCTCACCAGCATAGCTGAGATTTGTACCGTGTAACAGAAATTGGGCCTTTGAAATACCATTTTCTAGAGGCTGATTAAATCACTGCCAAGGGAGGTCACTCACCAGCCCCACAAGGTCTCAGGCCACAGCATTTTCCAAGAACACTGAATTTATCAGCATTTTCCAAGGTAGAAGAAACAATGCTGATACGTTGCTGGTTTCAGCTGGGTAACAGGCTACAAGGAAATCAATCACACACCAGATACAGTGCATTAAAGAATCATGTTTAACAATGAAGTAGGCTGTCAGTATATAAATCACAAGCCTTTTGTCAACTGCTTTTGCTTTTCCTGTGTGGGCCAGCAAGATTTCCTGTTTGAAAAGGAAAAGAGATTTTAACAGTGTTGGTGGGTTAACAAAGCAGCTTTGTTACACCTTAATTTGGTAATTCTCGGCACAAAAGCATCTTTGATGCTGCCTGTGACGTTCCCCACCTGTTTCTCTTCAGGTATCTATGGATTATGGATGCTTCCCTTGCAAATCTAAGCCTTAATACCACATACACCCAAGTTAGAAACAGCATTTATTTAACCCAAACCACTTCAGTGACAGCTCTTTTCAGCTTCCTCAGACAAGAGGAAACCTGTTTGGAATCAGTGGGGTTGGCACGTCCGAGCCGAGGAGGCTGCGGAGCATCTGCATCACTCACCCATCAGTAAAACTGGCTCTCCCACATCCTGCAACACGGGTACTAAAGGCAGCTGGGGTGCCTCAGGGTCAGCCCTGCCATCCCGTTGCAAACACTAAACACATCACTGGAAGACGTGCACATGATGAAGAACAAAATCTATTCCTCTCTTTTACATAGGTAAACAAACAGCTTGCCACAACCTACCAGCAAGAATAAAGAGAACTCACTAGCAGGAGAAATGACAAAGCTATGATGAAAGGAAAGCCCAAAGATGAGTCAGAACCTGCAAACAGTCACGCAAGGGGGAAATAAACCTTCCAGAGATTACAGGGCTGGAGCTATTTAAGATATTGCAACAACCAAACACAACTTTATGTGGTTGATGTGACAAGCCATGAACAACAAGAGAGTTTAACGATGGAGAATTAACACCTCACATTAAGGTCTTGGAAGCAAACAAACTGAATCTTCTCTTTGCAATTACAGTATTTCAGGTTTATTTCTTGGGTTTGCAATTCTTTTTTCCATCAGGGTAGATCTCATTTTAAGCAATAGCTATAAACTTCTCCTTTCTCACATACTTAGAACTTTCCTTTCCCAGGTAAGGGATGGGGGAAGGAAAAGAGGGGAGGAGGAACAACTTAACTGCTCTGCATGGAGAAGAGGTACCAGAAGCAGCGTGGAGCTGCACTGCAGTACAACTAAAGATGGGTTAAACCTGGAGTAAAGTAATAGGAAATAAAAGGAAATTAAGGACACAGGTGTAGCCAGCAATATTTTAGAGACAATGTGAAAAACTCTCACCTTGCAAATCACAGTATTTAAACACTGGGTCAAACCTTACTTTCTGTTCTTGCATGGCTCTTAATCATGGAAAAACTTATGGCAAGATCCTGTAACAGCTTCAAGAACCAAACGCAGCCGAAACAATTTGGCTCTTGACCCTAAAAGAGTGTTAAAATAAAACACATGACTTTATTATGTTTCTTTGTGCCATTCTTACACATTTTGAAACTGATTAAAGACATCTGCACAGATCTGTCGACACTCACTACTTTCTTCTAAATGAATGTGCATGAAGCAAAGGGAGAAGTTCAGGGATCAGGAAAGGTGCTGGATGTTCAGCACTGCAAGTGTCTTTCATTTGTCCAAGAGTTGATTCCAGAACAAGGAAAAGTCTTTGGTGCTGACCCAAACTCCTTTAGCTGCAGCCTAGAAATCATCTCTAAGGACCGGAGGGAGGCTTGGACTGAATGGTTCTTTCATTCACACATTCAGCCCTCTCCTGGGGGTGGCACAAGGGAGACACCTCACCAGGCCACCGCTGCCTTTTATTCTCCTCATTTTGGTGTAAAACACTGTTGGAAAGAATACCCTTAGATATTCTTGCTTTCCATCAAAACTACATATCCTACATAAACCTACTGCACTGGATCAAATAGGTTCAAATATCCTGGATGCAAAAAGCCAAACACCTTCCACACTCCCCCCAGTTTTTAGGAGCAGCTCTGGAGAATTTCTATCCTGCTGCAAATACTCAAAAATGCAAATAAAGAGATATCAGAGAGATTCTGTAGCTTTAACCACATCAAAAACTTTATTCCTCTGATTATTTTAACCTACCCATTTTTGAGGAACCAATTCCTCAACCAGATATCTAATGAAAACATGTAATCGGAGCTGTGCGGAAGATGGGAACAAAAAATTCCTGCTCAAGACCTTGGTGTTCCTCTGCCAGCAAGAGCCCTGTGTGTCCATCCAGCAAACCTGCAATTGCCTCTCAAAGCCACTGGCAACAGCACTTTGTCAAACACAAACCCTCCTGTCTTTGATAATTCCATTAGAGAAGAGGAATTGCTGTGTGAATGAATGAGTTTCACCAGCACATCACCTGAGCAGGTATCCTGTACCCTTACAAAGCCACTGCATGGTCCAGAACTACTCACTCGGTACCCAGAGCAAGGAAAACACTCAGGAAAACATGCAAGAAGGTCCTTCTGCTTCTCTTTCTCCAAAGAGCCATCAGCTTGCCTGGGCAGGAATGGGTTTCTCCCTTCACTCTTGTAGTTCAAACCCTTTTAGACTTTCAAATTGCTTCTCCAAAGGGTAACAATAGCCCTGAAGACTTTTTCAATTATTCTGAAAGCATATTTCCTTGAAAATTGCCAGCTTTCTATCCTCCCGTTGCTGGATTCCTCCCATCCAGGGTGACACATCATCAAGTTAGTTACAGGCAAATTAACACAGCTGACAAAGGGGGAAAAAAAAAAAGGAAAACACACGAGGAAGAGTTAGAGATGATTCAGGATTCAGTGTTTCATTGAAGAGGCAGCAAAGCAATGAATTAAATAGCTCCTGTGAATCCATGAATTAACCACAGTTTAAAAGACAGACGACTAGACAGAAGACTTGAGCTGTGACAGCAGCAGCACTCGCTGCTCCCACCTCCCTCCTGGCCAGCATCAACCTCCTCACCCCGTCACACAAAAATCTCCCACCTCGATCCAAAGCATCCTGAATTCCACAGCATCTCCCCTGGAGGCTGGTTGGTGTCCTATGGGAGTCACAGCAAGCTCAGAGGACTTTCACTGGCTCTAGCCATTCCATACAGGCACCAGAGGACATCCCCCCACCTCCTCATGCTGTTCAACTCCCAAGCTATAATCACAAGGGAGCTTGACGAAAATGTGACTTTCCTGCCAACTTCCACAGCGAGTTCTGTTTTATTAACTCCTTTAAGTTAATTATAACTATGTCAACGTTAAACTGTATCTGGGAGCTCGCACTGTGTTGTAAAAATGTGCTCTAGGCTCAAAACCGGAATCTCAGGCATCAGTTTTCAAAG